TGGGACTGGAGTTACGGACAGTTGTTAGCTGCCATGTGGGTGCTGGGATACGAACCTGGGTCTTCTGCAAGAACAACCAGTGTTCTTAACCACTGAGCCATCTCTCCAGCCCGTTTTAGTGAATTTTAAACTCACAGATTATAAATGGACCTCATGACAGAGTTGTGAGACATAGCATTCATTCCATTCATTTATTCGGGGTACAGCAGGTATATTACAAATTTATAAGAACAAGAAAGAAATTAGAAACTAGTTGTGATGTAAGTGTCCATGAGCTTGCCTAAAATTGGACAGCTTCTTGAGTTTTTGTCTATGAAGAAACATTTTTTGGTACATGCAAGCCGTAAAGGCAAGGACTTCATAAACCACAATAAAGTGTCATTTTGTTCCGCTATAAATACAGGCCTAACATGACAAGCAATGCAGAACAGGGCTTGCCCAGACCCCAAGATGTGTGTCTTTGAGGCTGCAGACAGCGGGGATCCTGAAGTTTGAGGAGAATCAGCACCAGGTCTTCCCATTTTTCAGGCCTGTGCTGAAAGTGCCCAGGTTACCCTAACTTTGCCGTCCTTGTTTTGAATCTTGGGTTTAATTTCTTGTGGGCTGACTAGCATTCACGAGCTGTTTGCTTTGCCCTCAGCTTTCTCCAGACCAGCTCATCTTGCTTCTGGAGAGTCTCCTAGAGCAGAAGACCTTGAGCCCCCAGACTCTGCGAAGCCTCCAGTGGACGTACCACCTGCAGGAGCAGGATGCAGAGGTAAATGTAGGTTAAAACTGGGGGTCCCCACTGATGGTGAAGGGTTACGAGCCCAGGCTGTAGAACCCGCTGCCACATTAGCATGATGCCTTGTGCTTGCTTTATGGTGAAGAGCTGAGCTTCAGGGGATGAGTAGTCCACCCCGCCTGTGCTGCCTCTACTGTCCCCTCCATCAGCTTTTGTGCTTAAAACCATTTGAAAGCCAGAGTTTTCCCCTTGCTACTTAAATCATGAAGATGGAACCAAGTCTCCTAAAAAACAAACAGCAGGGTGTAATGTCTTTGAATTAAGGCTTGGGCGGGTCATTTTGTGCTCTGATGGTGGCTCCTCTCCTGTGCTCATTAAGGAAACTCAGCTCAGATGTGTGGGAGCGTCTACATTCAGCTAGGACAGGAAAGAAGCCATGTGTGAAGGAAATGAAAACTGAATTGAGCAGCGGTGGTTTAAAAAGTAAAATTGAATGCTTATGGGAAAGCAGTATGAGGTGGTCCTTAATATCTTTAGCTTATTGAGAAGAATGCTCTATGAATCCTAAGATGGATTCCATGTTAAAAAACTACAAAATAGGCCAGGCGTGGCTGCTCACGCCTTTAGTCCCAACACAAGGGAGGCAAAAGCAGGCAGATCTTTGTGAATTCAAGGCCAGCCTGGTCTACATAGTGAGTTCGGGTCAGCTGGGACTACAGGGAGACCCTGTCTCAAAAAGACAAAAAACAAAAAAGAACTACAAATAATAAATATTTAATGTGTTTAGTCATCCTAAGTAAAACATAAAAGTTCAAAGAGAAAAGCTCTTTTATATACAACTCTAAAAGCAGAAGGTATAAGAAAGTTTGGTTTGTATCCACTTGAAAAATAACATTTTAACACTGTAGTCTGCACTGGCGCCTGTGATTGCTAGGCTGTGAAACTAGCTGCGAGCTGAGGTGCACTGTACGTAGCAAATGCACAGTGGGCACTGGAATGTTCTCAGTTTATCTTTATTCACTGCAGTATATTTTTGAAATGCTATTTTTAGTCATATTGGCTTAAATGAAATATTACGGTAAATTTCGGAGTCAGTAGAGTACACTAAGACGTAGCCAGGCCCTTAGTAATAGGTAAGGTAGACATTGTTACAGGTTTTACAACTCAGTAAATGTAGGGATAATTGGAAGACTCTGGTAGCTTTTCACCCACCTGCATACAGATCAAATGGCCATCTGTTTCTGTTTGTTTCTTTCCACTTGTAGACCTTTTGTTTACAGGAGTCTCCAAATACCAGACTTATTTTTAATTAGTGTTTCAAAGACTTTCCTATTTATAGACAGAGGGTTGTGTTTTGACAGGGGTTGAAAGCCTGTATCATCCAGGTAGGAGGGTCAGAGCAGGTGCTGGACATCTGTCCCTGGATGCCTGGAAGCCATGAGCTTCTAGACCCTGTCCTCCATTCTTTGGGCATGAAACATCCTGTTCTTAACTTTCAGCTGTCATAGTTGTTATATATCAGCTCTTAAACCTTTGAGGAAGTGGTGGAGTTTATCTGGCTGCTTCTTACATATCTCAACAACTGTTTGTCATTGTCTAAAGTCAGGACAGTGGCTTCTGCTTTGGTCCATGGTAGCCAGGTGGGTCTGAATGTAGTATGATTCAATTTACAGGACCAACCTGATCAGTCTGTGTGTTTGCACATACTGTCTAGGCACTGGGAGGGGACAGTGCGTGCAGGCCAGGTTCACCCTTAGGACACTTTTTTTCTCAGACAGCTCATTCACTATATGAACAAAGCAGCTTTGGCAAAGCACTCTGAAGGAGAAACAGAATGAAACTTGACTGTTTCTTTAAACCACATATTCAAGAAGGATCACTGGGAGGAAATGACATTGAGCCAGAACCAAAAGACAGAAGGAGGTGGCTATACAGGACCAAGGGGCCAAGTGGTTTCCAGACAGATGATAGCGAGTATAGACTGCAGACTTGGTACATGCTAGGATAGTAGTCATCAGCCGTTTTCTGTAAAACACCAGAGAATTCATATTTGAGGCTCTTTGGCTTGTGCAGTGCAGTGACTCTTCAGCTGTGCTGTTGAAGTGAAAAACCCATAGTTCATAATATGTAAATAGATGCAACTGTGAGCTAGTGAACCCTTTTATGGACCTATGATGAGCAAGTCTTAAGACAGGTGCTGTCCTTTTACCCAGTCACTGTGGCCCTCACTGAAGCTGGTTTCTGACCCTGCTGGGACCTGTAGGTTGAGGCCTTGTGCACCTGGATTTCGTCCTAAACTTTATCCTAGGTGACTAGTGCAGCTGTAGTGTCACACATAGTCCTTACACCAGTGGCTTCTCTTGTACCGAAGGTCCTGTGAAATGTCACTCCAGTCACAAAGCAACAAGATTTTAGACAACCAGGCTGCTTTCTAGGAACTTTATTAGTTAAATGTAATTTCTTGTGATTCTGAATAGCAGGAATTTAGTTGAATAATCAGCTACTTTTATTTTGAGCGACAGACATTTCACAGGAGGAAGATTCGTTTCCTGGTGGGAAAAATATCTTGAGGATTCTGATTTGGTGCTCAGTGTTGTCCTGTGCTGTGCATAAGTAAGGGAAGTTCCTTTGAGTTGTCAGGGTTCTCAAACACAGAATAAGTAGCAGTCATCTGGAAGATGCCCAAAGGGACAGATGTTGTAGAGTCTGTACGGAGCTTCCCTGTAGAAGATGGCTCTGGAAGGGTTTCTGGCAGAAGCGGTTAGGACTCGGATGCTCTGCATAGGTCCCTGCCCAGAGCCCTAGAACCACAGTGTTGAATGAGAAGTCTAGGGCAGGGCCAGTCAATGGGATCTGTGTCTAGCACAGAACAGTATCTATCACAAGCCTGAGTGCTGGGAGAAGATCTCCTTACCTACTGTCTGGGCATGCCCTCCAGTTTCCAAGATCTGCTAAAAGGCTCTGCTCCTGCCCCCTGACTGCCTTTTTCCTGAGAGCATGATCTGCTTGGTATGAGAAGGGGACTGCTGCACTCATTTCCAGCTGCTGATGTCCTCATGGCCAAGCGAACCTCCAGCCCTCCTGTTGGCGTATTTTTGAGTATCAGTGAAAAGAATATCAGTTGCAAGTCATCATTATAACACCTCAAGTGAGTCAGGGCCCCAGTTCAGGGATTGCTTTAGCTCCTGTGTCGCCTTCCTTCTTCCTTCCTGCTTCTTCTGAGTGGATTGTTGTCACCTTCAGTTAGTGTGTTGTTTCTATATCCAGCTGTGTTCTCTAAGCATGTGCTCTGTTGGTGAGAATTCCTTGGAGTATTGCACCTCGAGTCTGATGATACTGGTTTGAGGGGTTTTGTGTGTCAGGGTTGTAGGGCCAGCCTCTGAATTTTGTTCCAGGGTTTGTGGCCCCTTTCCTGCCCTTGAGAAATTGCTGTGGAGGGAGGTGTTACTGCAGGTCCAGATTTGAAAGGCAAAGTGCGTAAGAACTCATGTGGTGGAAGAGTTGGAATAACAGGCTCTGTCCTGGGTCACCTCATGTCTCCCCCATCCTTCCTGCTGCCCATATCCAAAGGGTGGGATACAAGCAGGGGCACCTTGACATTTCTTTGCCTAGAAAGTAAAGGCAGCCTAAGAGTCAGCCACTTTTAAATGGAGAGTGAGAACTACCATCCAACCTTAGGTCAGGCTGCCTTCAACCAGGAAAGAAAAGCTGGAAGGAAATTTAGCCCATAGAAGCATCTTGCACTTTTTAGTGTATTGTTCAAATAAAGAGCTGAAAAAACTTGACATATATACTTGACAGCTGATTCTGGAACAAAAAGTCTTCTACAAGCTCCCTTTTTAAGGGCCAGTGTGATGGTTGATGGGGTCCAGGTACCAAATCTGGACCACCAAATCTGAAGACCTGAGCTCCATCCCCAGGACATATATGGTGAAAGAGGGAACCGACTCCCTCGAGTTGTCTTCTGACCTCCACATGCTGTGGTTCATGCTCAGCTCCCCCCCAGAACACACACATACACAGACACGCTCACACATGCGTGCCTGCGTGCACACACACACACACCACACACGAAGTTTTTCCAGCTGGCAGTGGCTAGAAAACCCAAAAGTAGGTCTAGATCGACGAGGGTTGAGACAGGAGCTTCATCAGCCTCCTACTGCTCATGTCCTCATGCCATGAATATCCTTAATCTCTGTGAAAATAGTAAATTGCCCATGTTGTCTCAGTACTTGAGCTGAAAAGCTGACTTCCTAAGAGGACCCACCAGCTTGCTCAGCGGCCTCTTTCCCCACAAACCTTACAGCTCACTTCAGGCAACTTGTGGAGACCCCATACCCCAGGCAATGGCATCTCCCAGCATGTTTATTTTTGTGTGTTTCCTTAATTTAAAAATGTTTTTCCAGCATCATATTTAGAAATTACTCAGCAGCTCACCATCTCATGTGGACCAATTAGAAGCGGTGGCTGCTGGTGAGAGCAGCTTGTGCTTCACAGGCCCTGCTCTGATGCTTTGATACATTCAGCCAGAAGGTTAGTTGTTGGGAAGAGACCATGGATAGCATCAGTTCATCTCCTCAGTGAAGTGGGGAGACTGTTAGTTGGAAGGAAGCATGAGTTCAGTCTCATGACAGGCTTATAAACCTAGCACCCTGGAGAGGCAGGAGATCAGGACAAGTTCAAGGTCAGCTTGGGCTGCACAGTGAGACCCCGTCTCAAACTACCAAAAAAGGGGTGGGGGGAAGCACCATCAGGATTAAATAAGAAGCAGGCATGGCTGTCATGAGTCCGTCTTCCTGGAGTGTATCGCCTCTTCTCTGAAACACTCAGGCTGAGGGCCTGGCGAAGGCCAAGGCATGGGCTTAGCAGTGAGCTGCATTCAGGTGTCAGAACCCCAGCCAACCTGTGACACACACGTCCCCACCCCAGCACCATTTTCTCATCAGCAACACAGTACCAAACTGTACAAACAGCTGAATGGTCCAGTTTGTTTTCTGACCACTGCCAACTAGAAAAACTTCATGAAATGATCT